CAACGGGCAGTGTCCCGTAATAATTCCCACTATCCTGGATAAATTTGCTCGGGATAGATTGATTAATTCCCCCGATCTTTTCTTACTTATTTTTGGCCAAAATTCTTTGGTTTTTATGCAGTTGGTTACTGTTGACCATCTTCTTTCAAACATTTGGTATGTCCATAATTTTATTCGGTGCCGACAAGAAGCAACTGGTATACCCACACTTTCTTTTTCCAGAAGAATTTGTGCTGTCGTACCATGTCTTGCTAATTCATCTGCTATACAGTTGCCTTGGATGTCCCTATGTCCAGGGACCCAAATAATTCGTATCCGAAAATATTCAGCCATCACCATAAGTGATGTAAGACAATTCAGTACTAATCTCGAGTTGAAGGTCGACGAGTTTAAGGATTTTATAGCTGCCTGGCTGTCAGTAAATATGTTTATAAATTTAACGGAGGAGACATTGTGTTTCAGCCAATCTGAAACTTCCAATATAGCAGATACTTCAGCTTGAAAAACGCTGCAGTGATCCGGTAGCCTGAAACTCATACTGAGATCTAGTTCAGGGCAGTATACTCCTCCTCCTACTTGTCCATCTAACTTTGAGCCGTCTGTAAAGAAGTTAAGGCGATTATCACTCTTTACAGAGTAGTTTTCCCATGTCTCCCTAGAAGGAATAAATAATTCAAGATTTCTGTCCACAATTGTAATTGTAGTACAGTAGTCTGTTATATCCGGAATGAAATCAATTTCTCTGAGGATGGAATCTTGCATCCATCCACAACTGCTTCCAATTCCTAGTTCTCTTATACGTAAAGCTGCCCCAGCTACCTCGCCTTTCGCCGCGATGTCGATAGGTAAGATATTGAAGATAACATTCAGGGCAAGTGACGGCGTTGATTTTAACGCTCCGCTTAATGTCATCAGTGCAGTCCTTTGAACCTTTTCCAATTTCTTGCATAGTGTTGACCTATTCAGAGTATTTCTCCAAAATAACACTCCATACAAGAGAATTGGTTTTACCACCACATTATATATCCATAAAATGGACTTCGGTGAGAGTCCCCATCTTTTGCCTATAGCGCCTCTACAACAGTAAAATGCAACCATAGCTTTTTGGGTACGTGCAACAACATTTGGTCCCCAATTCAGTTTTCTGTCAATTATAAGACCTAAATATTTGGCTTTATCATTCAGAGTTAGAGTTTGACCTCCTAGGATAGGTAGTGTGAATTCCGGAATTTTATATTTCCTAGAAAAGAGCACTAGTTCTGTTTTGGTTGGATTTATTGATAATCCGCTACAATGGGCCCATTGGGATACTTTATTTAGATTACCCTGCATTACCTCACTAATTGTACTCAGAAATTTTCCCCTTGCAATCAAGGAAAGATCATCCGCGTACGCGACCACCTGACAACCTACGCTATCTAGATCAACAAGAAGATCATTAACTGCAGTTAGCCATAAGAGGGGGGAAAGTACTCCTCCTTGTGGAGTCCCCCTATTAACTTTCTTAGTTACTAGCGTTCCCCCCCATTGCGCTACGATTGTCCTATCAACCAGCAGTTGGGTAATGACTTCGATTACTCTATTGTCAATTCCTAGTTTTCTTAATGAGTTGACGATTACTTGAGGAAGGATGTTGTTGAAAGCCCCTTCCACATCAAGAAAAGCGCAAAGGGCGTATTCTTTATGCTGTATTGAGTTTTCAATCATCCCAGTTAGAGATGATAATGCGGTCTCTACAGACCTTCCTTTACAGTACGCATGTTGTGATTTTGAAAGCCTTTCATCTGGTATCTCTTTCCTAATGAAATGCTCCAGAAGCCTTTCTAAAGTTTTTAAGAGGAAAGAGGATAGACTAATCGGTCTAAAATCTTTAGGCGTAATATGGGAGCTTTTGCCAGCTTTAGGAATAAAAACGACCTTTGTCAATTTCCATTTCTCTGGTATATGCCCCAAGGTAAGACAACCTTTAAAGATTGGTGTGAGCCAATTGCAAGAGATGTCCCTTGCTTCATGAAGTTGGGCTGGTATAATTCCATCCAGGCCCGGTGATTTGTATGGTAGAAAGCTATCTATAGCCCACTTAATTTTCCTTCTGGTGACAATATTATTCACCACAGATGAGTCACATGTAGACCCCTGGTTTATTCCAAGGTTATTTGGTATGTCACTATCTGGGAAATGTATATTCAGTAACAATGCCGCCGATTCTTCGCTGCTATGTGTCCACCCATTGACCTCGTCTTTTAAGTAGACTAGATTAGAGGGTTTCTTCGAGAGAATGCGCCTAAACCTTGCTGTTCCTTGACAACCCTCCACGCTTTCACAGAAGGCTTTCCAGGAGCGTGTTTTGGCTCTTTTTATTTCATTTTTATATATTTTTAGACTGACTTTGTAGATGTCCCAGTCAGTGTTAAGATTACTTCTCTTGGCCTTGTTAAACAAGTTTCTGCTTGATTTCCTAAGATCTCTTATTTCCTCGGACCACCACAATGGCTTTTTCTTTCCCCTCTGTGATTTTAGTGGGCAAGAACGGTCCAAGGCTATGTTGCAAGCTTTTGTGAAGGTTTCCACAACGTTATCTAGCGATTGAGGAGTCTCTACTTCTTCAATAGGATATAGAGGAAGTAGATTTAGTAAATTGGTTCGATATCTACTCCAGTTGGTATTACGGTAATTCCGATAAGGTTTCTCAACTGGACATTGTAGATTTATATAGAATTGAATATAACGATGGTCAGAGAATGAGTGTTCATCAAGAACTCTCCAATCTTTAATCTCAAGATCTGTGTTTTCAATAGTTAACGTAATATCTAAAACTTCTTTTCTACCTGCAATAATAAAAGTAGGTTCCACTCCTGTATTGCATATATGAAGATTATAATCTAGAATAAAATCGAATAACGACTCACCTCTTTCATTTATGTCCGAGCTACCCCAGATTGTGTGATGAGCATTTGCATCGGCTCCAATCACAACACCAGTCATTCTTTCTGCTGCTGTTATCACGAGCTGCTTAAGTATTTCCGGTGGTGGATTTCCTATATGGTCATGGGCCATGTATGATGACACCACCCATACGGTTTTGCCGTCGATTTCCAAACTCACTGCAGTCTGGTCGTCATCACTAAAATTATTCAAAAGGAAACAATTAATGTACTTTTTCACTAACACACATGATCTAGGTCTACCTGAGTCTGTGTTGCTGATAAGTTTATAGTCATTTGTTCCGATTCCACAGATCCGGTTTTCCAGTATCCATGGTTCCTGAATCAGAACAATATCGGCTCCACCCTGTGCAAGGTGGATTAGAAGGTTTGCTGAAGCAGCTTTAGAGTGGTGGAGATTAATTTGAAGCACCTTCATCAGGTACCTGAACCTCTACCACCGTTTTATCGGCTTCGTCATCCGAATCCAGGAGCCCACTCTCATCGAATAGGTTGCCCAGACTGGTCACCGACCCCGCATCCGATTTGTCTTCAGACACCAGAGAGAGCGAGTCCACCTCCATTTGATCTGGCAGGTCTTCACTCTGTGTTTCCTCACAACTCTGCTGTCTTAGCATTGGTTCTTTAGCTGGTTCCTCCAGCAAGGGCTGAGCAGACGTAATCTTCTCCGGTTCTTCCGTGGCATCGGTACGATAGACCTTGAGATTTAGTTTCTCAAAGCCATAGGAGATTACGTACTTAGCTTCGGTGAGCGGTTTCAATGACTCCGCATTTAATACAAGGACAGCTTGTCTGGTCGGTCCAACAGGCTCCTCTAATTTTACCACCTTCCAATTTCCAGTTGGAAGGTTGGGGTTACAGATCCTGATTATTTTCAGAATTTGCTCCGGGTCAGTTTGTTTAGTTGGAATCCAAACCCTGGCCCTAGGACGAGATGGTATATCCTTCTTGTCTACCGCTTCAAGTCTGGCTCCAGGCCAGATCTCTCCTACTTTAGAGACAGCTGCCTTGTACAAGGCAACCGATCTCGCATCCTTGCAAGCTACCAATTTCACTTGTCCTTGGTGCCAACCCGCGTCTTCGCAGGAGGGAGCAGGTCCTGGGTTTTCTTCCAAAACTTGGAGGAAGATGTCTGCCAGCGCGGCCGACACCCATTTCCATTTGTCTTTGGGGATTCTCCCCTCCTCGGCACTCCTATCCAGGACACCTATAATGAGATTGTCCTTCGCAACCTCACTGTACGGTCGTACCAGTACATTGTAACCTCTTGGTTTTTTCGTAAGAGGGGGTTCTTCCTCCTGAGACCTTTGTCTTTTAGACACTTGGTCCGGTTTGGAAGCCTCTTTATTGCTTGATTTGGCCAAGATGCTTTTGGCCCATTCAAGGGATGAGGCCTGTTGCTGACTGATTTTATCGGCCGGGATCTCACCTACGCGCTGCAGAATTCGTGTAGCCATACGGCGGTCGTTATGGGCCTTTTTAGAGGGTGGAATTCTCCTTGTGGATTTGGTTTCTGACTTGTCACTGCTTTTGGCCGTGACAGAAGAGGCAACATACCGACTGGTAGATGCAGTATTTCTGCTTCCAGAAGGTATTTGCGACGAGATTTTAAGTTCATTGGAAGTGGAGTTGGAGGTACCACTCGAGGTTTGCAGTCTTCTGCTTGGGGTTGCTACTGGTCTTCCAGTAGCAGAAAGTTTTGTTTGTTTTTTTATTAAGATTTAAATTTTCCATATTGATGGGTCCCAACTCAGGTCCGCTATCTCCACCTGACGTGTAGTTATCTTTTAAAAAGCCCCATGGGTCCCTTTGAATCAGTGAGGTCCATGTGAAGGTTGATGTATAGCCTTATGAGCATATACATTCAGAGCCAGGCAGATATTAAGAGGGAGCTTCGCTCAACCTCACCTACACCACCAACTAAACGGCGACGGATATTGAGCGCTTCCTGAGGTCAGCCACGATTTTAACGGGACGGAGGCAGCCTCAGCATTAGCCTGAAAGCCATTTCTGCAGAGTTTCACCTCTACATACTGAGGTAACAGAATACTGAGACTGTCAGCCCAGGGTTCAGACAATTTATAATTCAGACAATTCAAAATCATACAATCAGTGTCAGTATAGCCAAGGTTGTTGCCGTTGAAGCCATATTGGCCGTAAA